CATCGGTTTCCTCATCCAATCTTTATCACACGTGACGATTCGGTTCGAAAAATGATCGTTTTGGTTGCGCAAAAGCAAAGAAGAACAGAAACTCGGAACGTGAAAATTTCTATCTATCGTTCAAATCATGGGGCTTCCACTATTCCAGCTTTCTTATACGTTTTAAACCATTGAAAACCGCATGTGGGCTTGAACAGAACTGGCCGATATTTGATGAAAAACCATATTAAAACTAATTAATACAGTTTATTGTATGATTTTCACTTTGAAGGCTTTTACAGAAACTGCGATACGTGTTTCGCTATACAATATTGTATAGCGGGATATCCATCAAAAAATAATAATTGTAACATTCCGATATTTGCATTTACTGAATTTGCTGTGAACAGGTCCTGGCACCTTACTGGTCCAGTCAACAACGCTTTTAGAGCGGTTCTCCTGTAATAAAAAAAATCTCATTATGTATTATCATACTTACGAATATCACTTTGTTCAACTAACCGAGGTATGAATTTTAATCATGAGATTTCTACATAACTTGTTAATGAACGTTATGCTATACGGAGCCATTCTAGACGCATATAAATTCAAGTAGAAGTTTAAAAAACTACCACAAGAATACATTGCTCTGTATAATCATCTACTTTATTGAAATATTCTTTCTCGCAGTGAACAATGAGTTTTATAGATCTCCTAGAGATAGAATATGTCATTTAAATCTCTTTACTTGCGGTCGGGTAACTAATAACTCGACTACACTGGAAATAATTTCATTTTGACCACTTTATGAATCCAATACGCCGACTGGTCTGACAAGAGATGAACTATAAAGCTCGCAGCTTTATCGATTCATTTCGCAGGTAGACTGACTATGTCGTCAGTTCCGTTCTTGTAATGTAATGTTGTATATCATATATAGAGCGTATCAGCCGAAAGAAAACAAAACTAATTAATACAGTTTATTGTATGATTACACAATAAACTGTTTTAATTAGTTTTTAATATGGATTTTCATATTCAATTACGAAAGAAATAAAGTCAATAATGAATAAATGGTGGCGTATTTGAAAAACGCTTGGACACCTATATTATTAGATTATTGGATTCTTCAGAATATTCTAGACATATTTCATTCACAATGCGGATATATAAAATGTTTTCAGATTCATTGCATAAATTGAAATGAAAAAAAAATGATCACAAAAACACTCTCAAAAAAGAAAAAGGAAATCTGTATCATGTAAAAATCAAACTTATCTTAAATACTTATCTTAAAAAAATAGAAATTCAGTCCAATGTTACTCAATATTTTTTGGATAACCGTTCCAATCGGTACTTTCTCGAGTCAGTTAAGGCGAAAGATATGCAATACTTTTCACATATTCTCATAAGAAAAAATCTAATGACGTTAGATCAGTGGGTCGTAATGGCCATTTCCTCAATTCTATTCTCCTTATCTTGCGATTTAGTAATGAGGTGATATCATAGTAGCTGGAACTTGTGGGTTTGCTGGATTAGGATCTAAATTTTTCTAAATTGGCACGGGGATATTTTGGATCACTGCTAATAAAATTCAAATTACCATCAATGAAAAAGGGGTTCATATATGTACCAATAATTTCTGCCCAAACATTCACCTTTCTAGGGTATTGCATATGTTCTTTTCTTCTTCAGTGTGGATCAGAGTAGATCAATAGCGGTAATTTTGACGATTAGCACGACGTTGTATCGTCAGAAGTGCACTCAGCAGAACACGAAAAATATTCTAATTATATCACATTATTATCTAACTTTGACATAAATTATTAGCACAAATAAGTATTTATATCAGAATCGTCCTCTAATGCCTCCAGAGTTGATATTATTTTATAGGAATGCATTTTATTTCAATACTCTCATAATCAATGAATGACTAACTACGAATGATACTACTGCTTATTGACTAGTTTCCCACAAACTTAAGCATAATATTCGATGTGGTTTCATTACTCATAGCAGTAGCAATGGCTTTATTTATCCGCCTTTCATATCTAATCTCGCGATATTGATATTTCTATTTTACTGATTATCTCTTGGCTGTGTTTCAAATCTCGGTTATTCGTTAATCAGCTGTCACACACTTACGAGGTTTTACATTTTAACGTGCGATTCCTAACATGAGAATAGGCTGACATACCTTGACAAACACATATTTTTCAATCTATTTTTATTTATGTCAGCACAGTCTTATATACAGACAGTTTCATGAGTTACTTTCATGTTGCAAATTATTTCAACCTTGAAACATCCAGTAGCTTCATACCATTATTATTTGATGAGTGTTTTTGTATACTGCATTATGATCTTCTCAGCTCCAGTATACAAAAAAAAAGATGATATCATTATGGTGGTTAAAATATATAATGATCTGACGCTTACTCACAAAGAAGTCCCCCAAGAGATCCCTACTCCACACAGTCGTGGAAGGCATTCAGAATACTAGTAAAAACAATGATTTTAGGTGAAATATATAAATTTAGAAATATTTCATTGAATTTTAAAAAAAGGTGTGCGTTCGTTCCGAAGAATAGAATTGTACATTTCCCATTTGTTTCTGTTGTTAACCATACACTGCGCAATTTTTTTTTCTTCGCCGAAAAAAATGTTTTTCAGTGTGATTTGTGTGTATGAATTTGGGAAAAATAATAAAAAAAATTCACGTCTGGATATTAAGCTTTTATTTAAACAAATATATATATGTATCATATCTGCTACATTGTGCACAAGTGGTACATGGAATGCAAGTGTCTTATTTTGTATGAAATTGCAAAAAATAATTATTANTGATACATCTCATTTTCAATGACGACATTTCTTAAAAAATTTTAGTTTACCACTCGAACATGACACTTAAGATATTATACTAACCTTAAATGTATTAAATTTGTCGCTGTTTGCAATCGGTTTGTAATTATAACTTATTTGTATAATATTTTCTTGCACGTGGTTCTCAACACTCACCACTCGGTCATACATCCACATGTTCACTGACTAAAAAGTATGCACAAACGCTTCGCAGCAAAATTCAATCGTATTTATAGTGTACATAAGGATGTATCAGATTGTCTACAATAGGTACAAGAGAAACTTAGCACTCGCAGTGCTTAAATTTTACGTTTAAATGTAGTTGTATCAGATCTGCAACGATACGCATTGTAGGGGAGAATTGCAAGTATCAACCAATAAACATTGGGGCAACAATAGCTGATTTGTCCGAAATGATAATTCAGCCAATACGTGATCCATTAGGGCAAGTTATCAAATACAGGAGTAATTTTCATTTTATCAATTTGCCACAATCTGAACCCATTGAATGATGAAGAACAGATATTTGAAAAGAATAAAGAATATCCACAGATTCATAACCCGCGTAGGTTCAAGTGATATTTACTGAACGTTGGCCATTTCATTTGTAGTGGAAAATATATACATCAAAATAGGGTGACAAATTTATAATTTATTTGGAAAATGAAAGTAAACAAATCTGGACGCTTCTTAACATCAAATTATGGGAAGAAAGTAAATTTATAGACTATTTTTCACGATCAAGATTGTTGCCTTTTCATATTGACTAAATTCAAAGCACAATAACAACGTATTCCAACTACACTTGCAGCATTGAGTACATTTTTCAAATGAACCGATAAACAAGAGCCTAGCTATATGGTAAATGTGATGAGAAATGTTCATTAAACACATTTTATCTCAACAGAAAATTATTTGCTCTGAATCTAGACTATTTTGATGGGTGTAGTTTTGATAATACGCCGATCACAATAATTTTTTAGGTTGTCCGTTGTGTGAACATTCGTGCATTTCAATATTGAAAAGGGGATTAGCTATTAAATATTGAAAAAATTATTGAACCTCGAATTGATACATTAAACATGTTTGAATAACCTTTCTATGAAATAACTTTTCCTACAACAGAATAAAAATACTGTCCCTCAACCCGCGTCTGCTAACCATGTTAGCATTACCTGGAGATGAGTAAAAGCTTCAGTCATCTAATTTAAGCTAATCTCAACCTATCTTACCTAAACTAAACCAACCAAACCAAACTTTTACGCCAAACATGCGTTGAGGACAGTATTTTTGTTCTGGTATGGGAAAAGTGTTATTGATAGATCAATTTTATGCTAAGCTATTGAATAATCTTTGTTGTTTATTTAATATTGGAACTCGATAGTTGAAGATCATTACGATATAGGAAAAAATTTAAGTTTATTTCTTTGTGCCAGAAATTTTCAATTTTATACTTACCCACAGGTAAAATAAATATTGATTTTCAATGTATAGAGCTCTGTTCATATCGAATTTTGAGATTGTACTGAAATGATTAATCATTTTGGGAAGGATGATGAGCAGCCTAGATTGATCTGGAGTGGATGGAAATACAGGAAGTTGTAGAAACATTCTCTTTACTGATTCAAACATGCAGAGTTTCTGAGAGCAATCAATTTCAGTTGAGTGACCGAAGTAAACCAGTAGAAAGTGATATTAAGTATTTTAAGTTATTTTTTTGAGCCATGGAATAATATCGTTAATGATGCAAGTTTACCCATAACCCTAATTGTATTCATATATTTCTTGGGTGAAACATTTATTCAATAGACTTTTTGGTGTACTTACCGACTTTGGAACATTTGACGAAAAAGAAGATACATTAAAGATTTCTGAAATGTTTTCGTCGTATGTTCTCAAATTGAATTGGAAAATCTTTAAGTTCCCGATTTTCATGAACCGCTTTGTAATATTGTGCCACAAATAACCTTCAGTTGAAAATAAACTCCAATCTATATTATCATTCCAAGAAAATTAAAACAAGTAACTAATTCTTGATTTCACCGATTTGGCTTTCATAATGAAGGCTTCGTGATGAATGAATATTTTCGTCATATGTTTACATATTTTATCCGAAGTGTTTAAAAAATGATAGTAATGTATATGTATTGCTTCAGATCCCGAACTCCAATCTCAACCTGGGTATAGATCGGAACTGCAAGAACGAGCCTTAGTCGTCTCTCTGCAGATGTTCAATTTGATTCTGGAACGGTGCGTGTCTATCCTCCAAGACCATATGTCTTCCCAAAAAGATGAAACTATCAATTGTCTGCCTCCGGATGCCAACGTTCTCCTTCCCGCCATCAAAATCTGGTGCGATTGGATGCTGTGCCATACGAACATATGGAATCCTCCGCCTTCAACGCAGGATTTTAAAGTGGGGTGAGTGTTAGTTTAACACTTTACAGTAGTATAAATATGTTTGTATGTTAGAAATAGGGCGATTCATAGTACAAAAATAATAAATTTTATAATTCAGTAAAAAATAACGTAAAAAATAGACCTATCCTCCAATATTCAATAAACATGTTCTGCATTCAAATGAAAGTCCAAAATTTTAATCCATTGAACAAATTAACAAGGTGAATGAATCATGATTCTAGAGTAATAACGACTGGCTGATTGAAGACATTATATTAAATCCTTACAGCTTTGTGAATTATTCGAATAATAATCTGTTCGTGATATTTTGCTGCACTTCCATCATATGAACTTTTAGAAAATTCATCTGTGTCAACATATAATAATATACAGGGTGTTTCCTAACTATGGAACGAAACTTCAAGAGGGTGATTCGTTGGGTCGTTTTTAAAAAAAAAAAGTTCCTATGAACATATGTCCGGAGTTGCTTTGTTTCTGAGATATACGGTGTTGATTTAAAAAAAACTAGATTTATAAAATATCATAAAAATCCTTACACCGATTTGTTTGAAATTTGCTATAGTCATTTGAAGTAATAATGCGCTTATTTAGCACGAACTAGATTGAAATTATTAGGTTCAGTGGTGTCTAAACAATATTGAGAAAAAAAGAACGCCACTGACTTTTTTGTAGTTTTTTATTTTTTTAGATTAAGGAACTAAAAATACAACTTTTTCGTCGCTTGTGTTTTTTTCATATCAAGCTTCGTTTTCGAGAGAAAAAAAAGCATTTCTGAAAACTATCCAATTTCGACCTTGATGAAATGCACGACTGCAATCGATTTGTTATTGATTGTCAGACACGTTCAAAAATATCTAGAGTATTCCTTATGACATTAAAATTGTCAATTATTCGATTCCTCAAGTCATTTACATCTATTACAGGAGTTTTATGAACAAGAGCCTCCAGATGACCTCATAAATAGAAATCTAGAGAATTCACATCAGGACTGCGAGCTTGCCAATTTTGAGGTCCTGCACGTCTAATCCAGCAATTAGGGTAGGTGATGTCGAGATGCTGACGAGCAAGAACACAAAAATGAGCGGATCCCCGTCGTACATAAACCACATGTTGCCTCTTACAAGTACTGGCACTTCTTCTAACAAAATGGTTAAATGATCTCGCAGTGTCCGTGTAGGATTCTCCTGTTGATCTTGCTGGTAAAAAACTGGCCAATTAGGTAGTCACCAATCATTCCTACCTAAACGTTAAGCGAAAATTGTTGGTGAAAATGACTTTATCTAATAACGTGGGGATTTTAGTCGGCCCAAAAATAGTCATTGTGAAAGTTCATGATAGCATCTCGTGAAAAATTTGCTGTATGTGATATGGATATAGGAGATTTCTTTTTAGAATTATCCATACGGTTTTTGGTCTGACTTTCAGTTGCAGTGCAATCTTCCTGGTACTATCTGAAGGATCTTCTTGTGTCGCATCAAGTATAGTTTCTACTGGTTCAGGCGTTGTTACAGTTACTGGTTTTCCACCACCTGGATTTTTATAAAAAATCCCGGTTTCACATTATCTTGCATGTAGCGTTCTAAATTCTAAATGTTTTAGCAATGGAATTACTCTGTTAAGATATCTGTCCTGATAAATTATCGGTGCTTCTTCCGCATTTTCATTTACTAATCCATAAATGAAGTGCATGTCAGTCATTTCAGCGTTAATAAAGTTATTCATGATGGAACCACTGCTAATTGGCATCTCTAACTTTCACTGATATGTCAACACTAGCACTGTCTGCTGGTCTCCAGAGCAGGTGTGCAGTGGCTTAATTTTTTTTCCCGAAAAGTGAGCTATATATGAAGAAAACACAAGCGACGAAAATGTTGTATTTTTCGTTAATTAATCTAAAAAAGTAAAAATCTTCAAAAAGTCAGTGGCGTACTTTTTCACTAATATTATTGTGGTGCCCATTGAGACTTTACTGGTCCTTATAATTCCAATCTAATTAGGGCTAAATAGGCGCCTTATCACTTGGAATAATTGTAGCAAATCTCTACTAAATCGGTGTAAGGATATTCATGACATTTTATAAATACCGTCTTTTGAAACTTCAAATCCCTGTACCTCTAAAACGAATCAACTTCGGATATATGTACATAAGAACTTTTTTTTTAAATGACCCAACGAATCACCTTCTGAAGTTTCGTACCGTAGTTAGAAAATACCCTGTATAGTTGAAACGTTATTTTATCGAGAACTGCCTTCTTCTCATCAATTTTCATTCTTATTCATGAAAATATTTGCAAGAATTGATTTTACGCCTTGTGATTCATGATTGTATTTCCAGAGAGATATTAAGGAATGTAAGTTTTTGAATTGACACCTTGCAGCTTGAAAACTTTCAGAATTAGGATAAATTCAGATATTTAATTTCAATTTGTTACATTTTTTGTGAAAAAAATTCGTCCAAAACGTCAGAATAACAAAATAACACATTAAAAATTATCTACCAACCAATACACTTTCATTTTTTTAAACAACACATTTTCAAAAAGAAAGATAACCTACGATTTCTTGCAGTATCACATTCTACTTGGTCTGTACCGTTTTTGTTAAACTTGTGTAATGGCTGGCGATGTAGATATATACCAAAAAAATTAATTGCTTTTGTTTCTCGTTTAGCTGTTGAGAATAAATTCCTGATTCGAGTGTGAAATTGTGGTAAAATTAATTATAGACTAATTACAAAATCGAGTTAATGAAAACCTGTCTTGTTTTTTTCTCTCTGTTCACTTCATGAAGTTGAATCTATGAGGTACTCCGGGCGGATCAATGTGTTTATCGAACATCGTTTTAACTAAAATGTTAAGTGAAGGGTGTTGAACAATGTGGAAGAAGATACACTTTCTAATTATTTTTCCACAGAAAACTCAAAAAGTGTGCGTAATAAAAATTTATTCTAGATAAGTTTTTATATTTTTTGTTGTAATCGAATTATTTGAATGAATATTTTGTTTTTTTTTAATCTTTCTTCATTTGCCGAGTACTAGTATAGCTTTTTCGACATATTCCTTAAACTATCACAATTACTGCGATTAACATTTTTTTTTTAATTTTTCCATATCTTCAATTGAAAACGTCAATTTTTCTCGACTATTTCCTGGACTAGCGCATCAACAAAATCATATTCAAAGTAACTTTTGATATTTTTAGTCGCTTTCGGAAAACGTAGCATTTTATGTTACTCGTGAATATTTTTCTATTCAAAGAAAAACCTTTTTCTTTTCTCTTGAAAGAGATTTTTGACTTTCCCCTTCTCCATCTTTATATTTGGAATGTGATAAACTTCAAAAATATGTGTAGATCTTGGATATAAGTGACTTTCAGATACAAAGTGGAAGAAAAAGTTTCCTCGAAACAACTACTTTCACGTGAACATTGAATTACATAAAAGAAAAAGTTCTTTCCAAGTAACTAATTTCATATCATGTTCATTACAAAGCTCGTTTAATTCATTATAACATCAAAATCAACAGTTCAAAAATAACTTTTCAAAACGCCTAAAGGTGCGAACTCGTTTCCTCCTCTTCATAAAAGAGAATGCATGCATCTCCACTCACAAGCGATTTTGGTGAAATCGATGACACGTGTGAATCATTGTATTCGTGCCAGGTGCCATTATAGGGATGTCTGCAGAATGCTGTATAATGTCCCTTGTTAGTACACCCTTTGTGATTCGAAAGTACATATATATTATAACGACAAGGAGTCACATTGTCTGCTGCATAATGGTTCATATCTAATCCATCTAGAGGAAATTCGATGGCAACATTTAACCTTCTCTAAATCTTTCTATTGAAAAGTTTGTATTCTCGAAAATATGGAATCGAAACTAATATCATTCTAAAAATTCATTAATACAGTTTATTGTATGATTTTCACTAGAAAGGGTTTCATAAAAACCACTATCCATTCAATTATATACAATTCTTATAAATGATATACAATATGAAAGGGTATCTATCGATATAATATTTCATTTACATGGAACCATCATCATCCTCAATGGTGTACTTTGAAGTTTCGGAACAAGACATCGTTTTGGATGACAATACGACATTACAAGACGAAGCACCCAGTTCTTTCATCACATTACGATTTCAAGTTACCCGAAAAGACAAATCTATTTATGTCACGATGATTTGTGATGATTTGATTCAATTCCAGCCATACGGAAGAGGTCAGTTAATAAAAAAAAACAGCTTCCTACTTCTCCATCTTGATACGAAAAATGTGAGACACTTCCGAAGGAAGACAGCAATTAATATCATAATAAACCCGTGTAATTATATGTTCATGTGAAAGTAATTTGTTTCGAAAGGACTTTTTCGTCAAGTTTGTATTTGAAAAAAAATATGTGTTTTTTGCCACTTTCACTTGTAACTAACCTTACTGCAGTTTCGTCCTAAAAGGACATTTTTATTTAAGTGAATACACCTCGAACTTCACTGTTCAAGAAAAATTTCATCTGGAGAACTGCGTTTATGTGGAATAAACTTCCTGAGAACGTTTTTCCAAATGGATTTTTCATCTCCAGCATGTGAATTGCTACTTTCGTGCAAGCAACGATTTTAGAGCGTCTCAAGGATTTTTCTGTAGTGTTTGTGTTTTGACCTTTAAAAAAAATAGAAAAAAAAAAGAACTATTCTATTGGGATTTTGAGAAAAGTTTTTTATTTCCAATTTTTCATAATGATTTCCTAACACGTAGTAACGGTTACATCCATCAATTTATTGAAAATAACTTCTATAAGAAAACTTTGTAAATACTCTAAATTAAACTTCCTTTCTTCCTTGGGAAGTTTACCACATTTTTATATAAAGATGGAGGAGTAGTAGGCCAAAAAGTTCTTTCTCAAATGCTAATCTCTCCTAAATGGCTACGGTTGGGATTAAACCAAATAACAAACTATATTACCTAATGTCTTAAGTGGTATCATCTTAAGACGAGTAGATTTGTCACTTCCGGTGATATAAAGTCGTAATGTTATAAAAAAAATAGTGCTTCGTCTTGTAATGTTATCCGAAACGGTGCTGATGAGTTTATAAGACAGGTGGTTTGTTCCAAAATTTCGAAGCACACCATTGGATGATGATATTTTCCATGAATTACATTTGTTTCATTTCCATAACGAATGTTTAGAATATAAACTGAAAAGTAACAGAAATTTTCGTATAATTCAATGTACATATAAAAGTAGTTGTTTCAAAAGTACTTTCTCACTCGTGTAATTCAATGTTTGTGTGAAAGTTGTTGTTCAAAAGGCTTTAATCTGAACGGGAATTCTATGCATGATCTGCACATTTTAGCACAGAGTTTATTCTCAACTTAGTTTTTTTCTCCTTCCTTCAGAAATTTTCCACATTTTTTGTTTGAAGATGGAAAAGTGGAAACTTAAAAAGATTTTTTCCTAAAACTATTTTCAAAACTTTCAAATTTATTAAAAAAACAGTGAAAACCTCTCCATATACATCTGAAAATAAAGAAAATTATTTTAATATTTAATATGGAAATACTATTCTCTTAATACGTTATTGTTTGAAGTTGCATAAACTGTTTTTTGAGTAGATGCAAATGAATTAATTTTATTTTACACCCTGCGTTAATCGAAAAAAAGCAAGAAGAGAATGTCAGTATGTTTACATTTTTCATTAAAATGTTTAAGGTCTCATCATACCAAAGTTTTCATGAAAAATATTCTTTCATAATCTTTAGCACCCATTAGTTGAAGAGTGAAGTGTGATAATTTAGTTGTTACTAAAAATCAGAATAATGCAGGAATGTAAAATACATTCCTTCGAACCATTTTGAATATAAATTGAATTATGTGAGCGCTCCAGTAATTTGTGTCAAAAAACAAATAATCAAGTGTTATCGGCTTGTAGAATCTCCTTTCGTAAATTGATATAGTGGTTTAAAATAATAGTGAATGAACAAAACTTTGAATTCTAGGCGTAACTATTCAAATTAGTTCGATCTCTCTTATTACCAAGGGTTAATGACTGAATATTGTGTTAGTTTTTACTGCTATACTATCATTTCAATAATGAATGGTTCTGGAATGAAATTATTTTCTATGTTGCTGTAGGCTACTATATCACATTTTTTCTAGATAATCAATTACTTTAGATTCCTCCCACTGATGTCTTTATTTTCAGATCGCCTGGGGATGTGTGGACTAGATTGGCTACTCTCATGAATCTGATGGAGCACATGGACCACAGCAGCTCTGGACATTTCCTGAAAGAACCTCGAGATGGTGAGTAAATATGATTGTTGATTGATTTATTATAAAATTCATCGCAAAAACATACTTGAAAGCCATGGATTATTTGCTGATACTTGAACCCAATGAACAGAGCATTTATTGTAAGATTTATACCGGAACATTATTTAAAAAACTGTTCAATTCTAAAATTTTAATATGATTCTGGGATACATACATATTTGAAACATGGAGATTAAGTGGCACTTTCATGAAACCTGAGAAAATCGAACAGGGTTTAGGAGAGGCTTAGATCAATCACTATCATACCAAGACTAATATGCGAACAGACTAGGAATGTCAGCGGAAACGGTTTAATGACGGGGAGGCAGAATATACTTAAAATAATGAAGTGTTTTAACTGATTTCTTATATATTGAGGACATACATGTGACTTTAAGTCAATCATGACGTGATAGGTGAACATGGTTATTGGTAAGAATGGTACATGTTAATTGGTGAACAATGATGGCACAAATGAACTATTCTCAGGGATTTTTGTCACCAATATTATAGAAATTTGTAATGGACAAGTCACTATATCTTTATGTTATAATAACAAGATGTGCCAAGTAAGAAGGGTTCAACATAAAACCCCATCCAGTTCGATCATAGTGGGATTCACCAAGAGAAAGACATAAAAGACGACTAGGATATCTAAAACATCAAGATGAAGAAATACAACTATCAGAAAGGTTAAATACCTCAGAGTGATACTAGATCTCCAACAGATTCAGAACCACCTATCAGATCATTTTTTGACTATAGACAATGGTGACTGTGATAACATGCATATTTTTGGTTTTATGTCCAAAGATTGGCCTGAGAATGTTATGAAAGAACTGAAAGAACTGGCGGCTAGGAATAGATTGACACCAGGAGTCAGGTCACTCAAGAGTAACAAAACGTTAATGAATGTGCCCGATATGTGGGTCTTGAACCAGTTGTACTAATACCAAAATCATTGGTCCGGGACCTGACGAATCGTCTAGTACAATGGTCGGCAACAGGCAGACCGCGGTCCGTTTGAGGACCGCGAAAGGTCGAACCTCGGACCGCCAAATATTGTAATATGTTATATAACAAGTATAAATTAATACGTAGATGAGGTATACTATACCTTTATTAAGTATAGTATTATTTTTAGGCCACATAGAATTCAACTTAATATGTACTTATTTCATGTCAAGTTGCCTAGTCAACCTGTTTTACAAGTACCTACAGCTGATATGATTTTATTAGTTCCCTATCTACCCTATGCGAGTGTGTGTGTGTGTGTGTGTTTGTGCCAGCTTGCGACCCAAGCAGACTGTCAATCGCAGCACAAACCGTGGAGCAACCATTGATTTGTTTTGTGATTTTTCGCGTTTTCATAATATTTTCGTACCTATGCTAATATGGACCCTAAGAAGCGAAAAGTGAACAGTGCAAATAGGAGGTTTCTGACAGAATGGACTGAAAAATATTGTTTTACGCTGCCTGATAGGCCTCAAGCGGTTCCAGTGTGCCTTATATGCAATATCTGTCACTATTGTTGAGAGTGGCAATTTGAAGATACACTACGAATCAACTCATCATCAGCAATTTCACAAAAACTTTCCTTTTGGCAGTGAGGCTCGTAAAGAAAAATTTCATGCATATCTCAGTTCTCACAAAAAACATTACGAAATTGCTAGTTCGTTGTATGAGCGAGCAAGAAAAATCCACAGAAACAGCGTTTTGTGTTCGCTGGACGCTTAATAAACACCAGAAATAATTTTCAGATACTGGGATGGTGAAGGAATGTATGTTGGAAGTAGTCACGACACTTTTTGAAGAAAAAAAGATGATGTCCCTGCATTTCAAAGTATTCCATTATTAACGAGAAGTAATACACGAAAAACGGACATTTTACTTGCTGATATTGAAAACACTCTTCTTGAACTCCTGCAAAAGGCATCTTGCTACGCCATAGCACTTGATGAATCATGTGACATTGTTGATGATGAACAAATGTTTATTTTCGTAAGATTTCTTGGTATTGAGTGTCAGATTTTTAGGAAAGAGTTGCTAGCAATATCGCCGTTGAAAGGTAACACTATAGGAGAAGTTTTATTCAAGGCCATTGATGATTTTATTACGATATATAACATCAGTTATGATAAAATCGTTTCGCTTTCAACTGACGGGGCCCCAGCAATAATTGGCGAAGAAAAAGGTGTAGTAGAGAGAATCAGGGATACAAACTCGGGTCTAATATCATATCAGTGCCCAGTTCACCAGGCAGCCCTTTGCGAAAAATTTAGTGCTACAGTGAAAGAAGTGATGGACAGCTCAGTCAAGTTGATTATTTTATGAGATCTCAGAGATCTCATTCTGCTCTTCAGCACCGATATTTCAGGGAGTCTGAATGTGATTCAGCGTATTCTGACTTACTGCAATACAACAATGTTTATTGGCTAAGTAAAGGTCAAGTTATTGAACGTTTCTGGGGCTGATAAAAGAAGTAACCTCCTTCTTGCAAAATTTAGATACAGAGGGAGCCAGAAAGCACTTTTAGTTCATAACAAACAAACGTAATATGTTGGTCGTGGCTTTTCTAAAAGATATTTTGAAATATTTAAATGCGCTCGACACAGAATTACAAGGAAATGGAAAATTAATATGTGATCTGATACAAAGCGTGTCTGCTTTTCATCGCAAGCTGGATATCTTTGAAAAATATGTTGCAAGACAATAATTTATTCATTTTCCGAATATTTTTGAATATAAAAAGAACTCTGAAGAAGACATTGCAGTGTTTATAAAATCTCTGGCCGATCTTAGGAATGAATCTGCTACAAGATTCCAAGACTTTGCAGAGATGGGCAAGCTATGCGTTTCTTAAATCGCCTTTTGAAGTTGATGTAGCAGCAGAATGAACATATGTGGCTGCCAAGTAGTTTAATCTGTCAAAGGCATAACTTCAAATAGAGATAATTGATTTGCAAGAAGATGTGTATTTGCAAATGTATAACACGGTATCCACTGAAGAATTTTGGGCCAAACATGTTCCAGAAAAATATGGAAATTGCAAGAAACTAGCTATAAATTTGGCCACTATGTTTGGCTCGACATACGTATGTGAAACATATTTCTCAAAGATGAATTTTTTGAAAAACAAATAACGAACACCTACCTAGAAGACACAATTCGAATTTTCTGTTTCTTTCGAGAATCAAACTATAAAAAACTGGCTCAAGACCGTCGGTGTAATTTCTCATATTAATTTTAGGTCTTGTGTTTTATAATTCAGAATTTGATTCGAAACCTAAATGATACATCATAGGTAGCACTCAATTTTTATCAGTTGTTTTTTCTGGACCTCGCCAAAATTTTCCCACAGTATCCGGACCCCACCTAAAACAACTTGCCGACCCCTGGTCTAGTACTACGGTAGACATTATCAAAAGCGATCTGGTAACGGTCGCTGTGCCCGAGTTGGTGCTCGAGTTGAGATGCCGTGTATTAGACGTAGACCCGGATACCCCGGATTACCCCGGATACCGGATTCCTTGTGTCGAAGCTTTGAAGCGTTGAAAGCTAAAACGAATCTGAGATGTTTTTATTATTATCAAATAACTTTTTTCTTTTTCAAATTTCCTGACATCAAAACACAAAGTATAATATAAACCAATAACTGTTCTGGTAATCGATTTCGGGTGAAGCATTGGTTTCTAAAAAAGTCTATTTATGGTAATGAAGAAATCTAACTTTCCAATGACTATCATGCATCTGACGAGAGAAATCAAATTGTTGTGTCTGAGGATGTTCATTATTTCTTTATTGTAAATTCCAGTATTTATTTACTGTTTCATTATATATACTCAAACTAGTAATCGCGAATAACTGTTCCTGTACGCTCTGAAGCTCGTGCCTAAACAACTGTCGTAATCTTAATCAAGACATCACTTTAAAAATTCGATTAAAGGGAGGTGTTACGACTCGTTCAGGAATTTATTAATTTTCGATACGTCCTACTTTTTTGGAGTATATATATCTCAAGTTTTCTCCAATTGAAATTTAATCATGTTCGTGTTGATGATATTGCAACTTTTAAGGTTTTTGTTGGAATTATAGTAGAAAATAGTAAAGGAGATTCACTTAATTTTGTTATCCATTGGATAATTTGGAAGATGGTAGCTGATTTCTAGTTCATTTTCAAACGTTTATGCATTTTTTACCTTAGAAATAATTCAAATAACATTAGAATATAATTACTTGTAGTTGAAGATGGATAAATCGCTATGGGAGTATTGGATGAATATGTATGCCATGACAAAGTGCATAGTGTCAATGTTTTTTGAATTTTCAAAATAATTAAAAATTCATTGGAATATTGAATTATGCAAGGTTTCCAGAATGCTTTTTCTTTCAGTTTGTGCCCTTGTATGATCTATATATCTTTGTGAAGAGTTTATTTTGAAAATGATTGCTTTTCCCTTTTTTTTTAAATTTCGACATTTTTTTGAATGAAGATGAAGAAGTAGAAAGCCAAAACCGTTCTTCCCGAAAATAAAATATATATTTTCAAAATTTCAAAACGTATTATAATTGTAGCGAAAATAAGTTTGGCGACGTAGCGTACCTGACGTCATATCGGAAAAGCGATCGCGAACACACGAGAATGTTCGATTGTGGTATACTCGTATATTCGAGGCATAATCGAGCTACTGGTCAGTTTGAATTATTTCGTATAATAGTTCTAGAGCTAAGAAAGATACAGTGAAATAATGAAATTTGAGCGATATTTGCAAAGTATATAGGGTAAATCGTGATTTGAATTATTAAAAATAGTTATAGAATTTGAATTAGAGGGCAGTTCATTATCAGGAACGAAAAACTCGAGCGTAGACATTACAATGGTGATAGGAATAGATCGGAACAGAATATTGATTAGGATTCAGTAGTGTACAGTGAACACTCGAGCGAATAATCAAGACGACATGACAGAGAAATGATGGGAGTTCTTGAGG